TAGCAAGACTAGCTCGAGTAAATTGCTTGACCTAATTAATCCTACAATTTGATTTGATTACTGTAGATTGTGGGGTCCATACATTCTTTGTCAAATTCATTTAGCTTGCGTTTGGAAACTTAAATTTAAATTTGATGAGTATATTTAAAATACGTATATTTTAAGTACTTATTAAAATGTACAGTTTGGATAAATTAAATTACTAAGAATTTGAAATTGAATTGATATTAGTTCTTCTTATTCAAATATTTTTAGAACCCTTAGTAGATAATCTTAGTTGCCTATGTCATTACCTCTATTTCTCTAACATGGTTTGAAGTACCATGTCAAAAGACTCAAAACATCATAACCCCAATGAGGCATTTTATCAAATAGGTGGTGTGCAAAGCGAATCTATAGAGAAGTAACCCTCGCCCTACGCACCAGCCTCCGTGACACCAGCGCCGAGTTCTCCTTTCTTTGGCCCCATGGTCTTTGCTCCCTCCTCAAATCTCTCTGGTCCATTGCTCAGTCCGATTCCGCTATCCTCCTCTTTTGCCACACACAATCCATCCTTGAGCTTCAAGGTTCTTCGACTTCCACTCCACCAATTCCATTTTATTTTTCATTTTTAGTTGGTATGATGAAATACCGTAATTGAGAATTGAAATTCATAGGATAGATAGGGAATTTGAAATATATGTAATTTTCATTCAAAAATGCACAGTTTTAATTATATGTATTTAAAACAAATTTAAATACTCTTATTTAATATAAACAAATAATGTATTTGAATTCAAATACACTTCAATCAAATTCACGTTTACAAACATAACATTTGAACTCCTTATTTTGCAAATATAAAATTTATTCGATTAAAATTTTTGACTGAAATAATAAATTACCTTTGGACAAAATTTTGAATTACCATGGGAGAAAAACTTGTAAAATTTTCCCGCTCATCTTTTTTGGGTCGAATTTTTTTACCAAAATATGCTTTTAATTTTTTTAAAATTCCTTCCTTTAGTAATTCGGTCGTATTCTTTGTCTGAAATTAAATTTATTCGCCCTCAATTCCATCTGAATTTGTTTGAAATTTTAACTAAAAATTTTAAAATTTTTACCGAACTTATTTTGGTCAAAAAATAGGACCAAATTATTTTGATGCCTATAAAAATGCATCAACTCTCATAATTTTCATTTGCTTGCTCCTCTTTCTTTAACTTCTTCATTTCTCCTTCTATTCTTCGCTTTCCAGCTTTCTTCGACATTTCCCCTTCTCTTCACTTCTTATATTCTACTCATTTTTACCTTTCTATATTACTATTTTCTTTTTCTTGACATCATTTCTATTTTTCCGAATTACAAAATCCATTCTCTTCCATCATTTCTTTTCTTGTCATATGTGTTATATTTTATTAAGCACATGTTATGTAAATTTATTTTGAGTTTTCATTAATTATCTCAAATTTTTAGTTTCTTATACTGATGATATATATTATTTTTTGTAGGATTTAATTCATTGTAAATTAGGGCATCACTTGGAGTATATGGAATGCAAATAACTAAATTCTCATATCTAATTTTTCTAAATGTTTGTTTTTTTTTTTATCTTCCAATTTAGGTTTGATATTTTTATTCAATTATTTGCAATGAAATTGACTCATTTGTGCGTGAATTTTTTTGTAAGTAAATGGAGGAAATAAAATGATGTATGTTGTATAAAGTGAGGTATGATTTAGTTACATTGTTAACATGTTTAGAAATTAGTTTCAAATTTTACTTAATTCGTGCATGAGTAAAATTTTATATTCTTTCCCAATTAAAATACAATATATTGTATGTATGATAAATATTATAAAATTTATTATTATGTACTATAGATTTTTTTATATAAATTTTTAATTTATATATTGCAATTCATATCTATTTATAGAAAATATGATTTTTTTGGTCTTTACCTCATTATTTGGGTCAAAATATTTGAACGAATTAATGGGTTAAAATATTATTTTTGTTCGTTTCGTTGAAATCATTCCGCCGCTATCGTTTTGTTTTTCTATAATTAAAATTGCTTTACCTTGATGTGACGGCATATAACCTTATCTTGAAATCACATTATGATACTAATTCCCAATGATTGCTTCTTTTTTTTTTTTCCTATCGAACTGTAAATATTATTATAAGGTTCATAATTTTTTTTTCGTGAATTCATCGTATATATGAAAAAGATGTATAGAAGCTATCGTTAGTTATATGGTTCTCTTAGCTGTTTTTATAGGTTCTTTTACAGGCTAAAAATTCCTCAACTTTGTGAAAGGAATCATTGTTATCCTGCTACTTTAAAACAAGCGATAAATATCGCTAAACTTTGAAAAAAAGGCCAAATATAATCCCTCCATGTACGGACATAGTAACGCCGAATTCTTCAAATTTTAATTGTAAAATGACATAGCTTGTCCCTTAACTTTGAACCTCAAACTTCATATTTATTTAATTTGATCCCTATTTTTAACTATTTTAGTACAATATAATTCCCCAACTTTTGAAGAATATGCATTTAAATCTCAAAATTTCAAAATTTATGTATTTTGGTCTTTTTTGCACAAATAATAAAAACTATATAACTTCTAATGAAATCACATTCAAGTATTCAGCTAGTTAAAATATTAAAATCAAAGTTGAAATAGTAAACTAAACTTATAAAATACATATCAAAGTGTATAACCAAAAATATCTTTCATCACAAATTTGAAATTATGTAAAGTGTTATAACTAAAGTGATGAAACTATAAGGAATGTGTATATGACTTATGAGTGTGATATAAATATAGTCGCGTAAACATCATGAATTAATGATAACTTAGGTGATGCTTCTATGACTATAAGTGTGTAACAAGGAAAATGAGGTAAACATTTCTTATTTATCCATTTTTTTATCATAATGTAGTTCTTTTTTCTTTTTTCTTT